CCAATATCAGTCTATGACCTGTGAGGAACCAGGCTGCATAGCAGGAGGCAAGTGAAAGGTAGACTAGCAAAGTTTCAACTGTATTTACAGTCATTTCCCATCACTGAGTTCCACCTCCTGTCAGATTAGTAGCACATTAGATTCTCATAGGAGCATAATCCATATTGTGAACTGTGTACAGGAAGGATCCAGGTTGTGCTCTCCTTTGAATAATCCTGAAACCTTCCCTCTCTAGCCTTTTCCATAGAAAAATTGTCTTCCATAAAAATTGGTTCCTGGTGCCAAAAAGGTTGGGGACTGCTGATATATATCCTTTATATAATATTTCACAGTAAGTTTGTGAGCATTTAATGCTGCCCTTGATCGAGAGGCCGAGCTCAGATGGTAATGCAAACCATGGGGAGTATCTGCAAATACAAATGAAGCTTTGCTTGCCTTCAGCTCACCATCTACTGTACTGTATTGGGCCATGGCTAGGAGATTGGGGACCATGGATTTACATGGATGGTTCCCAATATAGACTTCTTTGAATGTTTTACAGTATCAGATTCTTGTGCCCATTCAGACCTATTGAAAGAGACACTTAAGAAGTTAGACCTTCGAAAGCTCTAATTAAAATTTTTTTCCAGATGTTCCTGATGACAAAAAGGTGTCAAGTATACTGTTGTGAGCAGAAAAAAACATTTCCATTTGAACTAGCTGAATTTACTCATGACTCCCATCTTGTCCTCACTCACTATTCAGATTTTTTCACTCTCCTGGAATCTTTTTACTGCCTTTTTCTATTGGACAAAGTACAGTAATTTAGTGGTTGATAGCAAGGCTTTCATCTGCATTCCCCTGATGCCTTCAGGGCTAACCCTTGGATTAATGCAGGTAATGCATGTACAGAACATTTGCATCTGTCAAATACTATTCAAATGGAATTCACATGTACACAATATTTGAGAGAACCCAACACCCATCTTTTTCTGAGGACAAAAATTTGATTCTTTGGATAGCTTAACTGTTTCTGCTATCATGATGTCCAATGTGGCTAGACCCTAATTGCATTTATAGAACTCTACTTTTAGTCAAGAGTTTTATTTTTATTGTTTCACTTGGTCCTCATAACAACTCTTTGGTAACATCACTCCCATAAAAACAATAAAACTTAGAGGAGGTACAAGTAGATAATGTTCTCCAATCACAGAACCTGTGGATCCAAGTGCCAGAACTCAACATTTTTGGACTCTTTACATCACACTGGTTTACTACTAGCTTAAATTAGTAAACAGTTAAGCTATCCAAAGAATCAAATTTTTGTCCTCAGTTATTGTAGTAAACTAGTATGTAGAGCTTCTTCTGAGTATGGCTGATAAACAGTTTCCCTGTGTTTGTTGCTTAAGATCTAAAGTCCAGAAGTTGATGTGCTCTCCATGTGCCAAGGTGCAAAGACTGGGCTGGCAATGGCCAGTGACCCGAAGCAAGTGGTAGCCACTGTTTGAATCAACGGATCCAATGCCACCTTTGAAGTTCCACTCATGAATGGGGATCTGGTTGTGACACCTGTCTGCTCATTTCAGGAGCCAGCCCAGGTCCACATCCCTGGGTCTATAGTCTCTCTGCTACTTTAAAAGAAACCTCCATGATGAGCTACATTGCTACATGCTTCTTTCATAGGAAAGAATGATAAATGTCTTAATAACAGCATATGCAGAGTAGGCCATGGACCAGCTGTAGAGCCACAGGAGAAGCAGTGGAAGGATGCTGGTATACCATGGGTCAAGCAGTTCCTGGCCCTTGCTCTGGGGAGGGGCCTTTGTTACCCATGAGGCAGCCAAGGAGCATTCCTAGGGAGAAATCTAGAAATGCTCCAGGGAAATCTCACAAGGACCTGAAGCAAACTCTAAGCAAAGGCTGAGTGACAACAGGCTGAGAAGAAAAGGGTGAAATGGGGACAAAAAGAATGAGGATAAGACAAGCATGGGTTGTAGGGTTTTCATGGTTTCTCTAGATTTGCAGCTATCACAGATGACTGAATTGAAACAGGCCAAAGTCCTAATTTATGAGCATTAGGATATATTGCTGTTCTAAAATTATGGGAAACAATTCCTCAGACAAAGGTCAACTATCTAGAATATATAAAGAACTCAAAAAAATCACCCCCCCAAATATAAAGACCCAAATCAAAGATGGGCATCTGAAATGAACAGATATTTCTCAGACATACAAGTAAAAGCAGCAAATAAACATATGAAAAAGTGTTCAACACCACTCACTGGTCTTTTGACAGATGCAGATGAAAACAACACTGAGATTCCATCTCACCCCACAAAGAATGGCTGCTATCAAGAAATCAACCAATAACAAATGCTGACAGGGTTGTGGGGAGACAGGAACCCTTCTTCACTGTTGGTGGAGATTTCCATAGTGCAACCACTATGGAAATCAATATGGAGATACCTCAACCAGGTTTGGTTTAGTAATCCAACTAGGATTAGAATTCTCATTTGACCCAGCTATTCCTCTGCTGGGTATCTTCCTGAAAGAATTAAAAGAAACATACACCACAGTGATATATGCTCACCCACATTTATAGCGGCATAGATTGTAATTGCTAAAACTTGGAAACAGCCCAACTGCCCATTAACTAGAGACTAGATAAAGAAGATGTGGTTTTTTTGTTTTGTTTTGGGTGTTTTTTTTTTTTAATAAAATGGAGTACAACTCAGCCGTAAAGAACAAGAAACTAGAGATATTTTTAGCTAAGCGGATGCACATTGAGGCCATACTCTTAAGTGAAATTAATAAGCCACATGTGTAAATACTCAATAGTTTTTCTGGTGTGAAAAACTAAAAATGTAAATAGGGATCAAAATATATAATTGATATTGTGTAATAGGAAGAAAAGGTCTAAAAGAGTAGGGGAAGTGGGAAGGGTAGGGGAAAAGGTAAGAAGGCAAAAGGAAAAATATGGAAACAATCTCTTTGTGAACAGGGAAGGGTGGAGGGGGTGAAGGGAAGGCTGGGGAATGGGGAAAAAATAAGAACCAAGATTAATCATGAAAACGTGCAAGATCCCAATGATAAATGTGTATTGTATACCTAAAATGTACCAATAAACTGAAAAAAGAATGGATAATCTCGCAAATTGAGTAATCTCTTATCTCCAGTTAGGGATACCTTGGATCCCTGAAGTCCTTGAAATTTCTAGGTTACATTTTCTGTTTAAACCTTTTTAATTTGGATTTCTGATACTTGACATAGAAGTTCCAAAATCACTCTCTAATATGATGCTTGATGTAGATTTCCTGTGATACTTAAAAAAAATTAGAGCAATGTTGTTCCTCTTTAATCCATATATACATTATTATTTAAATCAGGTATGAGGTTGACTTTAATCAAGTACCTTTTAGTATTGATATAAATTGAGTTAATATATTTAGGCTTTTAGAATAATGCTTGACGCATAACTATTGTTTTATCAGAGCTAGACATTGTTATTTTCATAACATTTTCCTCTTTCAATCTATTGATGTGGTTAATTACATGCATTAATAGACTGATTTATTTGTTCATCTAACTTTAATAGATGAATTTATCATATTAACTAACTGGTTCTATAGTTTCTTTCGGAGCCAATTTAATATTTATATTTTCTTAGAATTTCACACATATTTTCTAGAAGATAAAAACCTCATAAATTTTCACATAACCTCTGTTACTTTATTTTCTTCCTCAGTCTGACTTGTTAAATATTTGTCTATTTTATTTATCTTTTAAGGGGGCAAGGTCCAGCTTTTGCTTCATCTGCTGGTCAAATAAGTTTTCTGTTGACTCACCAAGGCCCCACTGAGTGACTTATGTTGGTGTCCTACATAGCATGGTTCAGTCACATACCAATGCCCTCCTTGTCCAAGGTTAGGGAAACAAAGGGAAAGAGTCTGCAACCAAACCTTTTCAAATGCTACAGGTAGGCCTTTCCAGAATCAACATGGGAAAGCAACATGACTTGCTTTGTTAGCTTGATTTTTGTTCTTGGAAATATACACTGGTAGCCAAACATTAAGTGACCTCTCACTGTGATAAGGGAAATGTAATAATTACTTGGCCTGCTGTAATTTTTAGCATATTTTATGAAAAATGAAATAAAATGAAACCCTCATTACTTTGAATGGAAATCCTAAAATATGTTAGGAAAAAGACAATGAATCATTTTGAAATTGGATGACAATAAGCTTATAGAGAGCTAAGGCTTACAAACTAACAAATCCTTCTCATGATTTGCTTTTCTCTCCAGCTCTATCCTCTGAACCATCTAAATAGGTATGTCATAATAAAAATAACCTGAAAAAATGTGGACTTGGCTTTAAGTCATCTTCATGTAGTGGAAATTAAGATCAGGCAGATATGGACTATAACATTGGCAAGTGCTACTTTGGGAGTTGTAAGAACTTTCCTGATCTCCTTGTTTGGAAAACAACCACTGAACACGTGTGGTGTAATATCTAGGATGAAAAGGGCCTTAAATATTCCTGGCTCTCCTCCCCAGCTTTAGTAGGACACCACTCAGAAGACACGTGTGATAGTGTGTGCATATGTGTGCAAGTTTAGACCAGAATGAAACAGGGAAAGTTGTACCAAGTTGACACTTGTTCCTAGAGCAGGCTGCCTGGCTTTTTATTGACAATTCAGAAGTATCTGTGGGTGGGATGAAGGCCAAGGTACCATGCTGTGTATCTAGAATGTACATCTGAGTATTCTAATAGCTTAAGGGATTCTTTTATTTGGCCTAAAGGCACACATAGATACTTACTCACTCAAAATGATCTCTCAATCATGCCGGTATTTAGGATTCTCTCACATCATGCAAAACTAAAACTCAAACACTTACTGAGTCAGATCGTGGTGACTCTCAAAATACCTTTGTCCACTTGATGAAGTGTAAAACAAAGGACATGAGCCAGAATACATTTTGTGATAACGTTTTATCTTCTCTTTAGAAAAAAAAATATGTACAAAAAGCTAAGAAAAACCAAATGGAAGTGTCAAGAAAAACATTCTGATAGACAAGGAACTCCTTCTCTCAAAGGAGGTACACATTAGTTATCACCATGCTAGAAAAATGGGATGCAGTTAAAATGTTAAAACCGTTAAAAGCCACAGAATGAAGCTGCTGTTCTAGGGCTCTATGTTGTAGATGCTCTGATACCTTTTCCATAAAATAACACTGCGCAAACTGTAAAATATTCATTCTCATAGAAAGTCCATACAATACGATATACAAAACCGTCGAGTTGGTAAGGAAGGCTGGTGCTGATGGCTTGTTGGAGAGAAAACTGCAGTGCCACGTGATACCCCAGGACAAGATTTCAAACAATTTGAGTATCTTAGAGGGGTGAAGACATTATTTAAGAAAGAATCCTACAACCCAAACACCCCCAAATCTAGGATTCTCTGCTAATTTTCAATGTAAACTAGGTGATTTCTCTATAACTTTTGACACAATAGCCTCATAATAGATAGGAACACCAAGTTCTCTTTGAATATTACTGTCCAGAATTGATTTTGAGATTTACTATTAACCAACATCGTCCTTCCTGAAACTCAAAGTTTAACTTTCATTAAAATTCAAAAATTCCGGAGGAGGCAGAAACTGTGGTAATAAAAGTTAAAGTGAATTGTTATATTAATTTTATTTGTGTTTATAAAACTGAGAAAAGAAGGTTTGTGTACAAATATCACAAAACAACATCAACCATTGAATAAATGTGATTCATCAATGCACACTTGAAGAAGAAAAAAATTTTTGTTGGTTTTAAAATTCCGGCATAAATATGTTAAAGCTGACAAAAAAAATCAGGTCAAGCTACGTCACTTTTTCATACAAAAAATGTACAAAACATTAGCCTCTAACTAGATAAACATAATACTTGTCTTCACAGTTGGACATTGAGTAACTGTGCGTTTTGAAGTATTGAATTGGAAGGTGATTAAAAAACAGCTTGTGTCCTGTTCGTCCTCTCAGGTGACTTCAGTCATGGAGGCCGAGTGATTCTGCAAAGCAAACACAAGCAGACAAAGTCTTAGACTGCGTTTACAGACTCCTGGACGCACTCATGCCTGAGTATTTCCTTTGCTTTTTGTTTCCTAGAGCTTGATATTCCCTCTTCCCAATACTATCCCAAGGTTTGTCATATTCCATTGCTTGTTCATTTAAATTCTCCCTGACTTCTCCCACAAAACGACGGTTTCTTCAACTAAACTTCTTTGACTCTGTCTTATTCTTAAGTATTTTCTAATAATAAGCATTTAAGGATCTCAGGATACCTTCAGCTGCATCCTACGCTTTCTTAATGTTTTTAACATTGAATAATTTCAATGTTAAAAAGTTTTCCATATGACTTAATCTTTGGCTTATGAGTTCTATAGAAATACATTTAATATTTTCCAATGGATAGGAGATTTTTTGGGGGGTTGATTTTAGTTATTTTCATTTTTTTCTGGAGCATGTGGTCTGCATAATCCAGAGCCATTAAAATTTCTTATGACTTGCTTAATGGCCTTAGACATGATTTATTTTTATGTTTCTTGTGTTTTGAAGTTAATAATTTTTATCCTTACTCTATTTCGTTTACTTTTTTATTAATTGCTGAGAGAAATGTGGTAAATATCTGTGATTTCAGACATGTATATTTTCCTCGTAATTCTGCCAATCTTTGTTTATAAAACTTGTTAGTATGACCCCAAGGTCTTATCTTTTGCTCAAACTTAAAATCCAAAGATCTTATACATGGAATTGGCAAATACTTTAAGAAACTTTCAAGTAATCAGTTATTGCTGGTTTCCTAATTCCAATTTACTTTTAGAAAAGTGAGGATTTATATTAAATTCTTGAGAACTCTTCTGTACATTTTTAAAAGCTTAGTACTTTATTTTTTTCAAGGTACATTTGCTTTCCATTTTTGTGAAACTGGAGTTTGAAACATTTCTTGCCCTGAAAAAAACAAAAATAAAACTTTTTCTTTTGCATTCTTACTTTTACAATATGTTTTGTTTTTTGCTCTTTTTTTTTTTTTGACAAATGTGCTGTTTAGTTAATAAATCAATTTGGCCTTCCATGTGAATAGTCCAAATCTCATGAATGTAATAATACTTTTTTGATTGAATTTTCTACAGTTCATTTTCTTAGTTCTTAGTACTTGGGAAAGATTTTAGAATATGTTCCCTTCTCAAACAACTATACTACAGGGAATGATGAAAAGCAAATATTCAAGTGTCTTAAAAGAAGACAACACTGTACCTTTCTGGGCTCCGTGTAACAAAGAGAAAAGAATGTGTCAGAAGGAAGAAAATGAAGCTGTTTGGTTGCCTCCCTACTCAGGAGCTTCTCTTTATATTTTGTGTGATGGGATGGATTTCAGGTTTATTAGTGTGTGCTCTAAAGAGAAGTTCCATCCAGCCTTCTCTCAAATCCCCAGAGAATTCTATTAAAACATTAAAAGAAGTACTTTTTAATGGAAACCATGGCTATCAGAGGTGCACCTGAAGTTTTTACCCAGAAGGTAAAATATAGAGGATACTTATTTTGGAAGACCTGTAGCTGAGGTCAAACAGCCCTTGTGGCATGTTTCCATATTCCAGGGTGAGAGTTGTAGATTTCATAAAGGAACTTTACTTGAATGAAATCTCAGGCTGTGCGGTATAGTAGTAGAGCAAGCATAGACTGTAGACATTGAGCATGTTATTAAACTCTGAATCTTAATCTCTTCATCTATAAAACAGGATAATAATACTGAGAACAGAGCTATCATGAGGATTAAATGAGATAGTTCTTAATAACTGCTAGTTCTCTTTTCTTAACCAACAAATAAATGGTATGATTTCTTCACTGTCCATGGAGAAGCTACAAGGAGATACTCTTTTCTTGGCATCTCCCACCAAAGGTGAAACTTTTATCTATTTTGAGAGTAGCAGTTTTTCCAAACCTTTGGTACTTCATTTTTTAATGTCAGCAGACCCCCCACACACCCAGCCCACCTCAGCTGAGGGTCATACGTGTTCTGGACATCTCTTGGTCTGGACAACTATTAATAGTCCTGGAGGGGACAGAAAGAAATCTCAGAAGGGCTTTAGACAGAAGGCAATACCTGAGCAGAGTTTGGAAGAATAATTAGGGGCAAATATTCTTTGACCAGTATATTCAGGGAACAGCATTTGCCAGGACACGTGATTAATAAGTTTGTGAATAGCAATAGATATTTTTGGTCCCTTTAAAAGTTCACCTTTGTCTTCATTTATATTATCTCAAAAATAGTGGTTATTTTGATCGCTGGGCCCAGGAATCTAATGTTAGATGCCAAAGCAAAGCTAAAAAGATCACAGTTCACCATTTTATTGAAAGGCAATGTTATTTACTTAGTTGTCATTCAATGTGTATCAATAAGCTGTAAAAAAAAATCAGAAATAAGCTTTTCAATATGCTACTTCCAATTAGACCATGCAAAATATTCACTTTAATTCAAGACAAGGGAAAATAAGCCAAAAAAAAAATTTGGCATTACATTTAATAGTGAGCCCTAAATATCTTTCCAAATGGAAATAATTTTATTGTTTTTTTTCCGGTGGCTTGTTAATAAAATTAGAATTCACTGAAGGTTAAAATATATTAGTATAGTTTATATCAGAAGGATGTCTGATATTCAATCTTTAAATAATGAAAATATTTCATACTTCACTGAAATATAATTATAAGGGGGGAATGATTTGCTTTTTCTTTACATTATGTATAAAAATAGCTTAGTAATAAGATACTACTATGATTTCAAGATAAACAGACCTTAGTGGGGAATAGACACTTTATTTAGTAGGATCCCACACACTTGAAAAAGAAAACAGCATTTTAACTAAAATAGTTTTATTATCTGTTTTACTATTAGCTTTTATTATTTTATTAGTTGTTTTCCTGTTTGCTCAAAGAACTCTTAGTCATCCCAGCTTTCCCACTGTCTAGCCATGTGGCCTTAGGCAGGTAATTTAATAACACTGACTTCATAATATTTTTATTTCTAATCCGTGAAATGGGAATTGTCTATTAAATATGGTGGTTGTTTAAGTAAGTATATATTTGTAAAGCACCTAGCAACTGTCTGTAAGCAAAAGTAAGTGCCTTATTTTATCTTTCCAGGCTTTCAACTCCCAGGTCTTCTCCAAGGCTTTCCTTCTTAGATTTTTTTCCCCTTAAATTTAGATTCACATAGCACTTAAGGCATCAGGTCAAAAGTATTTGGAGAAAAGTTCTGTGTGTTTTGAATATATGGAGAACTTCTTTCTTAGTTACTGTCCCCTAAATAATACAATATAGCAATGATCAATGTTTAAATTTTATTAAGGGTAGGGAGTTTGTGCAGGGGGTATTCCCAAATACTACATAGTTTTATGTAAATGTCTGGAGAAAATTTGCATCTTAGCATGCTCTGGAGTTCTTGGAACTCATTCCTTGTCGATACCAAGGGACAACTGTGCTGTTTAGTTAATAAATCAAATTGGCCTTCCATGTGAATAGTCCAAATCTCATGAATGTGATAGCACATTGGAGTTCAAAGTATCCTAAAGCGGCTTGGGTTTAAAGTAAACTTTAATAAAAATTCTCGAGGATTTATGACTGCCAGCCCCCAGTTGAATTCAGGACTTCTTGAAGAAGGCTGTAAAGATTTCTTTCTGGAGAGCATTTACAATGAGTGAATAGACTCATTGATTCTGGTGGATTCAGTGGGGTCCTATCTCTAGAATGGGAAAGAATTGGTTGACTTACAAAGGTCATAGCCTATGGGTTTAGTTTGTCAAAACCACTGTAATATACCTGTGCACTTAGGGTTTCCAGAGGGCTTTCTATCCTTGGGAAAGCCATTAGGGGTACTCCACGGGAATCCTCAGATTTGGGTTTGGAAGGAGATCCTTGCGTTCCTTTAAAGTTATGAACCACACACATTCCCTGCAGGATAAGGGGAAAAAAGATTGGGGTCACACTACAGCCATCAATGTCTGGCCATCTCTGAAAGTGGCAAGGCTTTTCCCTGTAACTGTCACCACCATAGTGACTTTTTTTTCTTTGAATAGGTGGGTAGGAATCAGGGGAAGACTTGAGATATCTATGAGAACACTTTCAATGCGGAGGAAACATCTCTTTGTTCACCAGATAGCCACAGGTAGTCATCCCGCCCCACTGAGCTTGTTTCCTCAACTGTAAAATTGGAACAGGCACATCTCCCTCATAGACTTGTAGCAAGTAAAGACGATGAATATAAATCACCTCTTAATAACACTAAACATTTATTGAGGACCACAGTGGATCTGGCACAGTCCTGACGGTTTTACTTCATTTTACTTCAGCCACCCAACAGTTCTCTACAGAAGATACTCATGATATCCGTTGTAGTTAAAGGAATTTGGATAACTTGTTCAAGGTCACACAAACCCCTAAATCACACCACCATACTGTTTTGCCACTTAATTTGTTATATATAACAAATATATAGCTACTATTCAGTCAGTGTTTTGGCTGGTGTTTAATTTCTGCATGAGAGGATCATCTTCAAATATGTGACTACTATCTACCTGGGTTACATGACTCTCAGGTTGCAGTTTTATTTCTATCATTTAAAAACTTTCCCTCTCAATTATTACTCACTTTTCATTATTTTCTACCAGTGTCATAACCGACTTGGTTTTTTTCCTAATCATCTCCTCTGCTCTCTTTGCTCATGTGCTTGTTACTTGCCTCTTTCTATGGATCTTTCATTATTGTGCATCTTTGTTTCTACATGTAGGGATTTTTAGTCTTCCCTGTGATTCTTCAAACTATGCAGAATGTTTACATAAACACTGCTTACCTGGATCACTTCCATCTTACTCTACGGAAATTTAAACTTTTTCCATTTAGGAAATGGAAGAAAGGACAGATGTAGGGACCTTGTAGTTGAGAGACCGAGGTCTGATTTATGGCTTTTTGCTTGGGTGGCTACTGGATGAGCTACTTACTTTGAGCTATACTTTCTTTATCTCTAAAATGAGGATTAAAATATTGCTAAGTTTGTCCTAGGAACACGTACTTTGCTGTATATTAAATGTAAAGTATGTAGTAATTACCTCAACAAATAATTTCCTTTTCCTCCATTCTTTATGGGAAACACAAACAGGTAACACAGTATTAATCATATGCAGCCATTATGCTGCTATTCCCAGTTTATATTTTTCATTTCTATTTGCTCTGGAATACTTCCGTTCTCCTCCTAAACATGCTTCTTCCCTCTTCCCAGCTCAGTGGGTGTGTCTCTGAGGTATATGTATGTGCTTACATACATGCAGGCAGCTTAATCTTTATCATGCAAAGCAGTTCAATAGCAGATATGCATCTTAGGCAAAGGTCATTTGGAGAAAAAAAAATTTTTATATCAGTTGAGAAATCACCTGAAAGCAGTAACAGACCAAATAATAACTGAGTGCTAAAAAAACAGGGCTGCTAGAACTGAGGAAAAAAGCAAGTTCAATGTTACAACAGAATTGGTAGTGAGGTGCCAACAAACACAAAGGTTTTTGCAGGTGTCATCCCACAGAGACTTGATAGAATTGCTGGGGATTCTCAGAACTGCCTTTTATTTGTAACTGGAGATGGCTGGCTTTTTACCACTAGTGGACATTGAAATTGTTTGGCTTTTCTTTGGAGCCCAAGTCTTCATTTATTTACCACTGAACTCCCTTTGAAGCACCTCTTTTAAAGTCACCTATAGTTTTCCTCTTTTTAAGAAAAAAAAAAAAAAAAGCTTTCCTGGAGAAATATCTCTTATGAGATGTCAACATCTTAGGATAAGTTCAGCACCACTTTTCCTGTAACCTCAGCAATATAATTTGCATTTCAGTATCTCATCTTTCACTATAGAAAAAAGTGAATTTTTGCAAAGTAACATTGAATTATAATAGAGATTCACAAACAGTGTCCTGAATAAATGTGTGAGCATTTGCTGTGAGCATGGTAGTAGAAAAAAAAAAGTTGGGAAGCTGAGTTAGAAGATGGGACAGGCAAATTGCATTTTGTGAGGGGTGGGCAGAATGGAGGTAAAGAAAAGTTTTGTGACTGTAAAATCAGGTGACATGTGAGGTCCTGAGGGGAATTTGTCTGCAAAGGGCAGAATAGAAGGAGAGGTATCTTGTAAGACCATGATGGCTTTTTTCTCCTTGGGTAAATTGATAGGGGATTTATTTCATGCAGAATACTTGAGTTACTAGGCCTAAAGACTTATTGTAAATCCTTCAGCACCTACTTTAAATTTATTTTAAATTTTGAAGGAAAAATTAAAACCCCTGAACTCTGTGATATCCCATATAATGGAATATTTCACTGTAATAAGAGGAATGAGGTACTGATAGATTCTGCAGCATGAATGGATGTCAAAATAATTGCTCTGCACAAGAGGTATGCTTCCATTGATATGAAACTCTAAATAAAGCAAACTAATATAGAATGACAGAAGATCAGTGGTTCTTTGGGAGGGGAAATGAAAGGAAGGAAAGATATTACTGCGACTGTAGGTCAAGATTTGTCAAACTGGATACTTTATGTGCCACGGGTATATGCCTACGATATCTCAATAAAACTATAAAAAAGGAAACACAAAACTAAATGAATACAAATTGTTTTTTCCAAAGCAACCGAGATTAAGGGATTTTGTAGGTGAGCAGGTGTCCAGGACCCACCTATCCGAAAATCTAAAACAGCCTCAGAAATGAAAAGATATGGAAAAAACTGAGTTAACCAAGACTGTTCCCATGAATTTGTGGTGTAAAGAGGATGCCCTACAGGTATGCCCAGGTAATAAGAAGTCTAAAACAGAGTTGGTGTGATTAGCTGCAGTGTTTATATCTCTGAGCTGATGTGCATACTGTAATGACTCTTGGGCTAAGGCTGAGCTTCTTGGGATGCTGGGGGAGAAGATACCTGCTTCTGCCAGTGCTCTTACTTTCCCTAGAAATACCGAGAGTAAAATTTGAAGGAAGACCGGCTTGAAGGCATGTCACATTACAAGTCTGCCCAGCCCCAACCACTAGTCCAGTGTTTAAGGAGGTGGAGAGAGACACCCTTGTTGGAGAAGTCTTTACCCGGACTCCCAGGAAGAGCATTACATTTCTGAAAGAAAAGTGCTCTAAGATAACCCTTGCAGTAAAAAGACACATGATATCTGGTGAATAACCTCATGAGGGTGGAACAGAGCTCGCCATAACGTTAGACATCCTTTCAGGGGGTATTGGCGGAAACCAAGTAGAATGAAAGAAGCTGACCCACCAGAAACAAAGCCACTGCACTGCCAAGGATGAAGCCTGCTATCACATCTGAACAGTGGTTCCGGTACTCAGAGACTCGGTTGAGGCCTGTCAGGAAGGCTGTGCAGAGGGTGCCCAGGCACAGCACTGGCTTGGCCAGTCGGCTACTCTTTGTCTTGATTGTGCTTGTGATGTACATCTGGAGGGAAAGTGAAACCAAGAGTGACCACATGACCCCCTCACACTGCTGAACACACATGCATGCACTTCTATGCCCCTGTACGTGGGCAGGGGCTGTGCCAAGGCACCCATACAAATAAATTACTTTCCCTGAATAAGTCCACTCACCTACCCAGTAAGAAGTTTAGATAGGAAACTAGTGCGGCAATGGTAGTGAGCAGTTGTGCATTAATCAGTCTTTTCTATTGTAGCGGGCATGGGAACAGAAATCACAGCGATTGACAGAAATGACTGTACAATAATGACTGGATAGAGAACATCCATTTTTTATGTGAGAGATCAGAAAATCATTTGGAGATGTTTAGGAAATCCAGATAAGCATTTATTTACCAAATAAATCTTGGGAATGAATTCTGTGGTGAAGACCAGGTAGGTAAGCAATTATACATTTTACCTTTTTTTGTCCCTCATCATTTTACCCGCTTCTCCACACTTTCCGGCAATAATGTAAAAGTCCTAACTGACTAATTGATAAACTGATTTAGTGCTGCCAACCCACTGTCATGCAAATGGGTCTTAGTTGTGCTGGGCAGTTGATTCCTACGTTTGCTGGAATGGTTGTGATCAGTTCCATCTATTCATTTGCTCCAAGAGTATTTTAAAATATTAATCTTTTCCACGTGTGCCACCACATACAAAAGGATAATGGCTGACATTTCATTTTAAGGAGCTGGGTAAGACTCTTAGGTTTAGTTGAAGAACCTGTCCCTGTTAATTACAGTGCCTCTTTCAAATGAGACCACCACCTACAATCGTTATAAAACACCACTAGAGGGCACTATTAGCCCGTAAATTCTTAGCTGTGATGCATTTAGTAATTTTTGAAAAAAAATCTGATACCAAAATTATAGCATATAGCGCATATGCCCTGAACACATATAAGACTCATTAGTTTATGTAATGAATGCCTTACAAAATGGTTAGATCAAAATAGCATAAATTAAGCCAGGTATGGTGACACCCACTTGAATCTTCTGAGCACTCTGGGTGCTAAAGCACAACTGCAAACTTGAACCCAGCCTGGGAAACTGAGCAAGACCCTGTCTCAAAATTTTAAAAAAATTAAAAATCTGAGGATTTAGCTCAGGGTGAAGCTTTTAAGTTCAATCTTCAATACCAATGCACAAAAAGTTACATAAATTACAGCATATTGTTACATATTCTGGACTGTAAGGGAAACACTACCTGAAATCTTTACTATATATAATTTAGTTTTTATGTTCCTATATATTTTCTAATTATATCTTTGAAAAACCTTTCCTATGTGACAGTGAACTATTAAGGACATGGGCTTATGGATAGTATTCTTTATGGTATTACCCAGTGCCTGGGAAATATTTGTTGAGTGGTTTTTTTCATGTTTCCTTTTCCATTGACAATAATTATACATATTTATCAGGTGCAATGTGATATTTTGATATGTGTATACTACACACTGTATAACGATCAAATCAGGATGATTAGCATACACATCACTTGAGTAATTTCTAAAGCCATTTAACACATAACAGGCTCAGAAAATGTTTGTACAATGAGAATCTTATACTAGGGTTTATCTGATTATAGTCTGTTTGTAAGGCATAATTTGAATTGGATTATATCTGAATCCTTGACAACATGTACTTTAGCAGAATCTATTCTCTGTGTGTGCTGACTATAACTGTTTCCTTCTTCCTCATTGAAGTTTACATCTCACAGGATGGTGAAACAGTGGTTTAAGTAACAGATTTATTTTTATGATAACATTATTAACCTTAATTTCATACAGTGATGACTTAAATCTGATAAAAATACAAGATGAGGCACAAAAGTAAACTGCTTTATGCATGTTAGGTCCTAGGTAATTAGGACAAATCAGTATTTTGAAAACTGATAAATATGCTGGTGCCTCAGATGGCTTCCTTTGTTTTAAAAAATGCTTAGCATAGACATTTCTTGGTAAAAAGCAGTGAAGTCTAATCAAGCAAGAGTTAATTTGCTTTGTAATGTGAGACATCTGCATTATTTGTGTTCACTTTTCCTAGTGTGTGAACAGTTGAAATCATTTTATCATGTATTTATTAAAGAGTAAATCTAAAAGGAATAAGTAGGAGCCACATTTTAGATAGTTAGTGGTCAGCAAAATGATCCTGACATGAGACCCTGTAGATGACACAAAAATGTATCTGTTCTGGGTTCTGTGAAAGAGAATACTCACCGAATTCTTTTTTTCACCTTTAATTGAGTTTATTGGTACATTTTAGGGATACAGCACAGTTACATTCATTGTTGGGATCTTGTACCTCTGACAAGTCTTTATTCTCATTTTTTCCCCTTACCCCTGCCCTCCCTTTCACCAAATTATTTTAAACTGCTACGCAGACCAGACCTGCAGCCAGCCTCCCCTCTGCACACTCTCCAGGGAGAATGGCAGGAGCCTGCCCTGGGGAAAGGGGCAAAGCCACATCCAGGGATCTTTGACAGGGATCTTTCCTCTGTCTTCACCTTCCTCAATTCTTCACTGAGAATCTCTAGACTAGTCAGACACTGAATATAAAGTAAACTGAAAGAAAGGGATCTTTCTAACTAACAGTTGCCCCTCTACTGGTAAGTGACTATGATGCCCACTCTGAATTTATGCTAACGTCATGTGGTCTTTGAAGAGACCTCTGACTTCTCTGTTCTGGATTCAAAGGAAGCACAAGCCAGAGAAAGGTGAAATGTGGTCATTTCCAGGGTGGATGCAGTTAAAAAGTAAGAATATAAGAAGGTACCATTGCTTCTTCTCTGATGAAGGCAAACTATTTAAAGATCACACTGTACCCCAAAGGGACAGTCAAAGGCAACTTGATCTGACGGGCAGTGAGATGTGAACTTTGGGATGCTGGGGTTCTTGTGGGACCACCCATCTCTCCTAGCAACATGATAGGAAGAGTAACAGGAGAGGCAAAGGAAAGCTGTCTTATTTATTCTGGGTCTGCACTCTACCGGGGTATCCATTTATGTAAGGCTACACCAGAAAATTCTGAAGTGTGCTGCTCTGGACCCAACCCAAATGCTGGCAGAGTGTTGTTATGGTTGGCAAGAGGATTGCAAACCCGGTGCCAGGAGCACGGGTCCCAACTCTTATTTTTTGGAGCTATTCTCTGTGCTCCAGTTTCTGCAGCTGAAAAGGGGGAGCAAGTAACTAGGGGATTATCAGAACTAATATCCTTTGGCAGACTGAGATACATTGGGACACTGGGAGTGTGGTTAGGTGGGAGCTATTATATCAATAGCATTATCTGAGATAGGAGAAACATGTCGCACTTGAATGACAGCCATGGAAGAGTGGAGGTGAGAAAGAGACACATCCCAGTAGAATGATCTTGGCGGGGACAACAAGACTTGCACACTCACCGTGGCGTATAAGGCAGAGTAAATGCTCAGAGCAGCATGTTTGGAGGGAAACGATCTCCGAGCCTTTTCTATCGCTTCCAGATCCCCAGTACAAATGTTCCCGTTGTTTACAAACTGGTGGTGTGCCCGGCAGTCTGTACTGGTGTAGTTTGGCTTGCATACAGTCAGGAAGTATGGTGTGAGGTGCCCAGTGACCACTTGTCCGGCGTTTACAAAAATGTCAGTAGCAAAAAGTCCAAATGCAAACACCCCTGGAAGGAGATTTAAAAGAATTAAGAATGTTGACATACACTGTTGGCCGGTTTTGCCACTGACAGCAAACAAAGCAGTAAGATTCAATGACAATTTATCAAAAGAATCATAAAGCCCTCCAGAGTCAAATTATCCCTCACCTTTATCTTTTCAGGGAGAGGAGGCTGCTTTCACAATCACTATTTCTTTCAAACTGAACTAGACAACCCATTGTTAGCATTTTATTGTTTTTGAATAAATAATTTAGAAGCAGTACAGTCTAAAGGAAAGAATTTGACGTTTGGAATCTCAGAGACCTGGGCTCCAGTCCCATCTTTGGCAATTCTTATTGTTTAGAATAGTGATCTATTCACAGGCACAGTTTAATTCTTTTTTTTTTTTTTTTTT